ATTTAGGCTGCAATCTGGTGTAAAAAGAGGTGACAGCCAGACAAGGGGGGATGGAGTGAGGGGTACTGGGCACCATGCAGAGGGCATGAGGGAATGTCTGAGGCACCTGGGGCCACCCCTGAAGAACAGAGTGAGAGATGCAGCTGGGCAATGAGAAGTCACCATTGAGGCAGGCCTCTCGACTCTTCTCTTCTCAGTGTCCCCCTCATATATACTGTTACCATGGTTATCTCTACTGCTGACAGCCAAACACATCTGCCTTACCTGACCACCCTCTACACTAAGCATGTTATATGTATGACCCCATTTTAGCCACAGTCCTATGAAGATAAGGTATGAGGATTTGTGTCCATTTTACAGATGAGAGAGCTGAGGTGCTGGGAGGGGAGAGTCGCATATCTAGTAAATGCAGGAGAATTAAAAATCCAGTGCTGAAGATCTATGGATGGGAAATGTCCTTTTCCAGCCCAGGCCACCACTGGCCTTCCAGCTGACGTGGTTTCATTTCCATGAACCACTGGGCGGTCCAGCTGGTGTGATTAGAGGCCTTCAGGTGACTGTGGAGCCCAAAGAAGGGACAGGAAGCCCAGGCAATTGTGGAGGTTGGGGGGTGCAGAGCTGCCTGGGTGGGGAATCGAGGGTGGGCAGCTTGGCTACTACAGTGAGCACAGAGGCTCTAGGGGGGATGAGGGCCCTCAGTGGGATTAGAAATAAGCCCATCTACGGCCACTCTGCCCAACCTCACTACATCTCACTCTAGTGGTAAATGGATGGCCTGAAGGTCCCTCCCTCCCTTCCTTGTGAAAATGTGTCACCATTCCAGCTGCTCTTTTCAGAAGGTGGAGAGTGAAGTGGACAAGTCACAAATGCAAGGACTGTCTTCACAGGAGGCAAACCATCTCCTGGGTTTCCAGATTCTTCCTTTTCCTTAAGTGGTGCTGGGCGAGGGGACTGGAGGCTTTGGGAGTAGGAGGAGCAGGAATCCTTTACAAAAGTCAACATTTAAAATCTATTTTCTTTCCTTGGAATTTTTCAGACCTCAGGCCAAGAGGAATTGTTTCCTTAATTACATTCAACTTCCGGCATCACATTGGCTGAAGTCTGGGTGACGCTGAGCTCAGCAAAATGACAATTAGAGTGCGTCCATCTGTGTATGTATGAGTGTGTGTGTGTATACTTATGTAGGTATTAAATGTCTGTCCCCTCCCACTTCCATTTCTTCATTTAGCAGGAAATAAAAAGACCACTAGGCTGGAGCTCAAATCCTTCCTAAGCAGAGGGAAATCTGGGTGTCACAGTTTCCAGAAAGGGAACACAATCTCCGTATGGGGTGTAATTACATCTTAGCTTTCTGCAGAAGAATAGTTTATGGCTTAAATGCTATTAATTGTAAGCCGTTTTGTTCCACGGGAACTTGTTCATTGATAACTATCCAATTAGGGTTATTTTGCAATTAGTCTATTCACAGTAAATTTATTGCAAAAGGAGAGGCTGTGGTGCAGCAAATTAAAGCATTGCCGGGGCTGTGTGTGCAATGGCTCTTAAATGCCAATCTTATTAACAGTCCCGGGAGGCTGTGCCACCTTGGCTGATGCAGCAAAGGCCACAGGAAAACCCCCGGCAAATTCACACTGAAAAACCACACTAGAGGTGACTCAATATGACCCGGAGAAGTGGGGGAACCCTTGGCCTCCACTGGCAACACCCCCCTCTCGTTCCCCATTAACACCCTCTCTTCTCCTTGCAACTACAGTAAGGACAGAGAGATACAGCCTACAGGCTGCAGGACGTCCCTGGAATTTGACAATCTGAGCTAAAGTGAAACCTTTAGCCTCAGGAAGAGGGAGAGGCTCTGGACAAGGACATGGGCTCTAAACCCTGAGTTTTAATCCCAGCTCTGCCATTTCCTAGCTGTGCTCCTATAGCGAAGTATTAAACCTCTTTAAGCCTCAGTTTCCTCATCAACAAAACTGGTTGATAACAGACCTACCTCATAGGCTGGTATGAGTATCCATTGTAATGCAAGCTGCGAACAGTGTCAGATACACTAATACAGCAGCCCCCCCTTATCCAAGACACCCAGGAGATGCCTGAAACTGCGGAGAGTACAGAATCCTATATATACCATGTTCTTTTCTATATATACATACTTATGATAAAGTTTACTTTATGAATTAGGTACACTAAGAGCCTAACAATAATAAAATAAAATAGTTATAACAATGTACTGTCATAAAGGTTGTGTGAATGTGGTATTATTAAGTAAAATAATGCTGACCTGAACACAAGTACTGCGATACTGAGACAGTAGATCTGACAACCGAGATAGCTACTAAGTGACTGATAGGCAGGAGCACTTAGAGCACGGAGATGCTGGACAGAGGGACGATTTACGTCCCAGGCGGTGCGTATTGGGCCAGCGCGAGATTTCACCATGCTACTCAGAACTGTGCACAATTCAAAACTTATGAATTATTTCTGGAATTTTCCATTATCTCCAATATTTTCAGACTGTGGTTGGCTGTAGGTAACCGAAACCTCAGAAAGCAAAACCGCAGATAACGGGGAACACTACTGTATATAGGAGTGGTATCTGGCAGAGGTAAGCAGTCTGCACCCAGAGGGCCAAACCCAGGCCACTGTCTGTTTTATAAATTCAATTTTATTGGAACATAACCTAGTGCATTTGTGTGTGTACTGTCTAGTGCTGCTTTCGTGCTACAAGGGTAGAGTTAAGTAGTTGTGACAGAGACTGCATGGCCCGCAAAGCCTTAAATATTTACTCTCTGGCCTTTATAGAAAAAGTGTGTCGACTCTTGGTATATGGTGAGTGCCCAGTATTATTTTCTTGGAAGGGCATTCAACTCAGGCTTCCATCACCTTTTTGGCAAGTCAGGCACTGGTTAACAAAAGACCTGTGAAACATCTCCCTCCACTTACTTATTCCTACACCCTCTCTGCCAAGTCCCAGCAAGAATAAAGATGGGAACCACTTGGACAACTTAGATAAGGTGTTAAAATGCAAGGAAGAGCCCGGCTTGTGTGGCTCAGGCCGGCATCACCCCACGCACCAAGAGGTCACTCGTTCAATTCCCGGTCAGGGCACATGCCTGGGTTTCAGGCACTATCCCTGGTGGGGGGCATGCAGGAGGCGGCCAATCAATGTTTCCTCTCACTGATATTTCTATTTCTCTCCTTCTCCCTTCCTCCCTTTCTAAAATCAATAAAAAATATTTTAAAAATATTTTTTAAAATGCAAGGAAGAATTAACTTTTCAAAAATCTTCTATTTCAAAGAAAGTATTATATAGGTACACATTTGCTACTAAACAAAACTAAAAAAATACAGATGAACTTGAGTAAAACGTTGGAGTCTTCCTCACTGCACCCCACCTATAGGGGCCACATGGAGAGCTTGCCGTGTATCCTTCTAGGCCTCTCTATGCCCCTAGCACCCACGGCTGCTCCCTGCCTGATCCAAATCCTTCATTATTCTGTGACCAGCAGTAAACAGAGAGGCTCCTGTCTGAAGTGAGGAGGCTTGAATTCTAGCTCAAGTTCAGCCTCTGATTAATGGGGTGACTTTGGATAAGTCTCCTTCCCTCTTTGGGCCTCGCATTCCCATCTGTCCGGTGAACAAACGGCATTAAGCTTTTTCTAGAGGTCCTTCTAGTCTGCTGTTCCTTGGGAGCCCTTCTCACCTCCCTTCCACATCAAGAGAGATGCAGGGACACAGTAGCTGCTCAGAGGAGGGGGACCACTTGGCAAAGTCTTCCTTGCTTGGCTTCTAAATCCACCAATGTCATGGGGACCAAAAGCCCCTCTGCCTCCCCACCCTGCCACCTGGATCAGCTCTGCAATTGGCTTTCTTGATTCTCTGACCTTCTGTCTCAACATAGGAGGATGCAGCACCTCTGTGACAGCTCTGATCTCTCACAGCAAGAGATCTGAGTTATCACTGGTCACCAGCACACAGAAGAGTGTCCAGCTCAGGGCAGGGGAGAGGGAGAGGGAGAGGGAGGGAGGGAAAGAAGGAGGGAAGGACGGATGGAGGG